AGTTGTTTGGCTCTTCTGGAACTCAGTAACCACATCTTCTGAATAAGATTCTGGACTTTCTCTGTCTTCCAGTTTCACTGTAGGCAACTCAACTTCAACTCAATGTTGACTGAGCCTGACAAAATATTTGATTTCTTCTGTTAAGGAGTTGGATCAGGAATAATGCTTGCTACCTTAAATCTCTAAGTCTGTTTTCCCTATTAGTTATTAGTGTCAGTTTTAAAATTGTAATCACGATATTCATATTCCTTGTAAAATTGTTTTTAATAGTACAATGAGTAACATAAAGGGTACAGAAAAATTCTTCTCCACGATCTGTCTGCCCATTCCACATAAATAACTGCTGTTAAATAGTTTGGTATAACAAATACAGAGGTGGTCTTGGGTTTGAATTAACAAACTAATACAGGTAAGACCTGGTAGGCTTCATGAAGCACCAGGTTCACTTACCTTTAGGGAAGGGTACAAGACAGATAATAAAGCTTGATGGCAAATGAAAATGGTGAAGTCTAGTCACTTACCAGGAGTGGCTTTCAACTGTTCCAGCCCAGCTACTTTACATTTGGGACGTACTTTGCCAGGGAAACCACTGATTCTGGGGTCCATTTACTTTTTTAATCTTGCTCGTTGTCATGAGTTTCCTCAGGGCTACAGAACTAGTTGCCCATTTTCTAGAGCAAGTGCATCTTACCAATGCTGAGAGCTGATTATGTGAGCCACAATCTTGATGTAAAAACTTTATTAGATTTCTTGCATTCTTTATGCATGCCCTGAATTGCTACTGCATGGAAGATTTGACCAAGGGTTATTTAGGCTTTTACATAATAATTTATCTCATAAGAGGCAGTGTATGAATACATATAAGAGCTACCTTTTTTCAAGAGTTACATATATATTTTACCAATATTCACCTGGCAGCCATAGAAGTTTGCTACTAATTTTTCATGATTATACAAAATGTCACAACATATATGCTTGCACATACATCCTTGTAATTTGGAGAAAGTATTTATAGAATACATAGAACTTCTGGATCAAAGGGTTTGCACATTTAGAATTTTTAAAATCTGCCAAACCGTGTCTCAAAGTTGTCTCATCAACAGCTGTGAGAGAATGTTTCCTTGTACAGTTTCTTTCTAGTTTTGTGCATGTTGCTTGGTGGCAAATTTTGTAGGATATACATAATAATCTTGATATTGCATTAGAATCATAGTACCTGGGATTAAATCAAAGTCATGAGACTACAGGGCTGATCTAGGATAGAATGGAAATCTTTTATCTTTGGCATTCTTTCAATTAACTGAAAGTATAGACTTTTGATTTTAGTTTGTTTTTTTCTTTTGCTTTAATATTTGGAATTAATTTGATAGTCCACTTTGCAGAAAGTCAAATTATTTCTACTCAACTTTAGTCAACAGAAATTTTAGAAATAAGAACTAACCTCTACTTGTGACTGGAGCTTTTCACTATGTGTCAGTAACATTAACTTGTATAATCTGAGTTAAAAAGATTATTAAATATGTAGTTAATGGACTTACAGGTGCTTTGAAAATATGAAGTTAATGGTAAAGATTTTTTATTGTATTTTAGTCTTCAACTGTTTATCAGCCTGATGCTTAGTAATTGCTCAAATACTATAATTGAAATTATATTATTTAACAAATCTGCAAAAATTTGTGCTGCATAATCCAACAGAATTTTTACATTAAAAGATAACTCATGCAGTAACTTCTATTCATTAAAGCTTGACATACTTAATGATGATCAAATAATGAGCACACGTTGGGTTATTTTAACTCCCTTTTATTAAAAACAGGAATAGACACGGACAAATTTACTATCTGTGATCTAGGTGTTTCTCTTCCTGTAAACTGCTCTAAAAATATCAATTTAAAGATAGGTGTTAGAAATAACAGGAGTTAGAAAAAAATTCTAAAATTGCAAAGGTAACAGTGATCTTAGTGTCACTAGATTTATTAATAAGCAAGTTTATAGAAAGTTTCCCAGTGCGTTTGGTGCTTTTATTATAGCGCTTATCACAGTCCACAGTGCACTGCATATATTTGCTTCTATTTTTTATTTTTTTCAGTATAATGTGAGCTTGGAGACCTGAATGTGCTTGTTATCCATCTCTCTGTTTTATTTAGAGCCTGGCACAAATGGGTATAAATGTTCAATTTCACTAATCTTAGCAAAATAATATAAGGTGAAAAATTAACAAGTAATTCTATTTGATAGTTCCTGGCCACCAAAAACTACTTTTCCTTAGGTTTTTATGTTATTTCTCTGAATCATTTTTTACGTAAAAAGATTCTATAAACTTGTTAATTTTGTTTACATGGAATTGTTTTATATACTCTGAGGATAATTACTGATAGTTTACCATCTGTTTCTATTAATCAGTCTTTTCAATCTCCCTAATCATTTGCTTTATGCTATATTTTATGTGTGAGATGATCTCTCTCTTTTGTTTTGATGGTTTTGATATTTAGGAAATGTGTAATATATTCTGTGATCTTCTGCAAGTTGTGTTTGTGGCATAATTCAAATTTGAATTTTACTACTTAAAAGGAAATGTGTGTTGTGGGTATTGGTAAAATGAGATAGGCCTTTTTAGATGTCTTTGCAGAAAGGCTTAGGCATTTCTTTTCCTGGAACAGAGGCATTTTAGATTTTTTTTTTTTTTCAATTTAAGAAAGATGGAGGGAGAGGGCTAGTGTTTATTGAAGGCTCATCATGTTCCAGCATTGTGATGGGCGCTATGTGTAATGATTAAATTGTTACTTGCTTAATAACCCTATTCTGTAAGTAATATTATCTTCATTAACAGATGAGGAAGCTGAAGCAAAAGAGTAACATTTTTTTCACTTTCTGTCTGCTTTTATTTTTCTGAAATTATATAGAAAACAGAAAACACTTTCACATGTCACAGCTTAGTGGAAACTACCCTGGAAGTTTTTATTTCTGACGATATGGTCAGACAGATATCCTTTGTAATATTCCATCCACAGGGAAAGGATATCTAAAATAATAATAATAATAGAATTGAAAACATGAATGACAAACTAAAAGAAAAGACCTTGAGATTGAAAAACAACCAAATAGAACTTTTTTAGGAATCAGTAAGACTGTGCACATTAGTGTTTTAAGCAGATGACTAGACTTAACTAAAGAGAGCCTTTATAAATTGAAAGATTACTTTGAAGAATTATACTTGTGCATGGAGAGAAGAGATGAAATGAAATATTTTTGAGAAATGTAAAAGGCAGAATGGCAATGTCTTAACGTATATTTACATGAGTGCCAGAAAATGGATATACAGAGAGAATCGAAGATACAAAATGATTGAGTTAAAAATGTCTGATAATTATCCAGAACCCAGGGAAGACATAGATCTCAGCTTGGGGAGCACAGTTACCAGTAACTCCAGAGAACCTACATGGGAGTGACATTTATAACACCAAAGATAAAGGGAAGGTCTTGAAATTACCAAGAAAGAGAAAATAGATTATATACACAAGAACAATTAGACTGCCAACAGCCTTCTAAAAATGTACCAATGGAAATCAGAAGTGCATGTACCCATGTCATCAAAATTACTACCAGTGCCACCAATGTACAGTATCATCCTCAGCTAATCTGTTACTCAAGAGTGAGGTTGAAAAAGTACATTTGTAACTAAAAGGGAGGTCATTTATCACCAACAGAGTCTCACTAAGCATGCTTTAAAGCTGGGTGGTGAATACAGGCGTGAAGTTTGAGGACGTGGTTAGCTCCCTCCCCGTGAGATTTTAGACTATTCCACCCTATTTCAAATACTTTCATAGGAATCTCAAGTCTGGTATGTGGGTTAAGTTGAAGGAAATTTTTCACAATAGAAATTGAGGGTTTTACTAGTATCTGTAATTTTATACTTTCTAAATAAAACATGTATCACTGATCTTTTTTATTAGATTCTGATCTGAACTATTTATCTTTCAGATACCTGGAAAAAAATTATATAAGAAAATATCTGTTTATTCCAATTTTATTAACTTATATCATTAATTTTAATCTTAAGGAAAGGTAGTTCCTCAACTCCTTGATCAATTATTGGGATGGACATCAATCAGGCTCCCAGCCTTTTGTACTGATTAGAAGAGAGCACTTAAAGGGGAGACCCTGTCACATCATCTTAGGACTTTATCATGTACCTGATGCTTCGTAATGTTCAATCTGAGCAGATGCCGAGAAACCAAACATTTCTCTGAAAAATAGAAATCAGAAAGGCAGCGACAGCAACAAAAATAGCATTCTGTGAGCTGAGGAAACTCTAAGGAGTGGTTGGTCAGCAGCATCAAACCCTACAGCAGGAGATGGGAGAAATCCATGGAAAGGAAGAGGAAAAGCCCCAGCTGGAGAGGCAGCGGGATTGATTTGGTTACCTGAGCATTTCTGGGTTTCCTCAGTTTTGTTCCACCTCCACAAATCTTACATGGTTTGCGTATCATGTAGATGATTATTTGTTTATATTTTAAAATAAGCTTATGCATATGAATTATTTTTAAAAGGAAACTTTCAGAGCACAAAATGGAAACCCATAATACCTGCCAATAGTAGAAAGTACCTGTAAAAATTAATAAAAGGAGCGAATACAATACCTCTATCGTGTTGCTGGTCTCTGAGCCTGAGGCCTACCTTCTGTTATCCAGGAGGAAAAGCCAGAGTCAGGAAGTACGGAAGCCTTGCTGCCATCATGTACTGTCCTCCCTTTACTTAATCACAGGGAAGAAGAAAGATGCAAAGGAAGTAAACTTGGTGTGCGACGATTCTGTCTTGCATGTCTTGTGCTATGTAGAATCGTTTTTGTACCATGAGTGTCAACAGCAGAATGTGAAACAATTCCGGGGGGATAGTGTGGCTCTGTGTGTGTGTGAGCACCTGACTTTTAATGTTTATCCTTTGAATGATATTTCTCTGTGCTTCCTGTATTGAAATGACTTTTGTTCTTCTGTTTGAAGCTCTTTTAAGAGCCTGCGCTGACGGAGGTGCCAACCGCTTGTATGATATCACCGGAGGAGAGAGGGAAAGGTATGCTTTCTTTTAACCACTGTGCATTGCATAGTGCCATTAATTTCTCCTCTTCTTTTGCTTCATTCTGTTCCCAGTCAAGGGACACTGTTAATTTTCCTTCAGAGTCTTTTACAGAAAACCACCACAGTGAGGGAGAATGAGCTGCTTAACCGTGTTTTAATTTCTTACTTTGAATGGTATCTCTTAGTAGAATTAGGCCCATCTATTTTTATTTTAAAAATCCTCATTCTGCTACTTCAAAGGATCATTAAGTAGCATTATCAAATATCTATATGTGTGAGGACTTTGAAAATTGGCTAAAATAATACTTTAAATGGCAATTTGAGTTGTTATTCAAACACTTTGTATGGATAAAAACTGATCTCATATAAGAGAAATATAAATTCTGTTGCAGAAGATGTGAGATTTTATGTTAGTGTTGAGTAATGCCTGGTATAATTTACTCTAACTTAATTACTTCTGAGTTATGCACACACATATATTTTAGGAGATAAATAATTTATTTCTTAATGATTTACTAGCTGTGCTATTTTGTTTTTCTGATCTTTGCATGGTGAGCTAGTTTGAGAAAAGAGAATATGTTTAATAGAAACATTTTATATGTAGCTCATTGCAAACACGTGTGTAGTCCAAACCCTTGGCAAACACAACCAGAATTTATAGTGTAGCTGTAAGTATACCAGCTATCAAATGTGATTCTATCTGTGTCATATATGTTATTATATACATTGAAATGTTTCTAACTTCAGAAATCACCTCTTTTCTGCAAAAAAGTAAAAATATAATATATCCTTGGTGTGAATTAAATATATGTATTTTAAAATGATGTATTTTTCTTTATGGCATCAAAATGTTTAGCTTTAGATTTCTGATATTGGAGCTGCTTTTTGAAAGCAGCTGATTTCTTAGAGGAGGAAGCACGTTTCCTCGGAGATTGAGGACTAGCCTAGAAGACTATTTCAATTCTTAACACTTTTCGCTCCTTTATTTTGTAAGTTTTCGGACTCTCGTGACAGTATTCTCTAAGACCTGACATGGACAGTGGGTGGAACAACACTCAAGTACGATATGTCTTGTAAAGAGTGCTTGTGCCAGTTAGTTCAGAAAAGAGCATAGTGCCCATGAGGCCAAGATTGTGTCCTGGGTATCGTTGGTTCTGTGCCCATAGCCTGCCTGCTGGCAGACAAACTGGTGCTGAGTACTGTTTCTCTAAAGGTAGATGTAGCTCACCAACATAATTATAAGCAGAACTGTGAATGGACATTAACACAGTGCTTCCCAACTCCTTCTGGATCTTAAGAATCATACTGAATGCATATTAAACAAATACACACATCTATGGTGATTATGTTTATTGGATTGGGCTGGACAGTAGTAAGAAAGGTAATAGAACACTTTTATTCACATATGAAAGCAAAGCAGATTACTAGATTTAGGGCATGAGTACCACTGTTTTTGCCTGGATTTTAAAATAATCAAGTCTGATGTTTCCTGATACACTTATGAATAAGGTTACAGAAGTCTTCCTAGATCAGTGGTTCTCAACCTTCTTAATGCTACAACCCTTTAATACGGTTCCTCATGTTGTGGTAACCCCCAACCATAAAATTATTTTCATTATATTTGGGGGTCACCACAACATGAGGAACTGTATTAAAGGGTCACGGCATTAGGAAGGTTGAGAACCACTGTCCCAGATGATTTAACTTACCGGTTGTCGATACGTGAAGATGTGCAGTTAAAGAATGCACTTTTTACTGATTTTTCTAGTTATAATAATGTGTTTGCAATGGTTTCTACTTTGGTGCCCAGAGCCTTGGCTGGCCTGGGTGAGGGTAGACTCTCTAATTACAAGATGAGTGAAGTTGCCTCATGTGGGAATTAATTCCTTGAATGAATTTCATTAAATCCAAACCCTAACCAGTTAAACTAATTGGATTCAGGTGACTAAACATAGTTTCCATTAATTGTATTTCCAAAAGAAAATCTTCACAATGAAAAAAGAAAAAATATTCATGAATTTTAAGGAGCCAACATGTAGTCCGTGGGCACTGCTTGCCTTGTTGGTATTTCTTTGTTTGGCATCTGTACCTACAGTGTAATGCCTTACAGTTTTGTGATAAACCGTGAATTTTCAGAAAACCATCTCCAGTTGAAAACAAAATGAAATATGCACTTGGAATAGAAGGAAGACTATAATAGCAGAGGGGCTAGGTTTACAGAGGTTGGAGCTGAGGGAAAAATCAGTGAGGGGCCAGCATGAGGTACCAGGCCCTTTGCTACCCTGGCTCTGGATGCCACTCAATGTTCAAGGCTAGATGTGGCCCTGGTGGAGCCAGATCCCTGGGAGAGCCTGAAAAGGACCCTGCGTGCTCCAGGCCCCGCTCTAGCCTGCCAGCTGCCCCTCCTCCTTCACAGTCTGAAGGGAAAGGGGAAGGTAAAGTGTGGCAGGTGAGGCTGGTGGTACCAAGGGGAGACACAGGAGGAAGGGAGCTGCAGGGCCCTAGGGAGGCAGCACCCCAGAAGGGACTGGAACTGGGGCCACTGGGAGGAGAACTAGAGAGAGGGTTAAGAGGAGCCCTGGGGAGGCGTTCTGAAGACCAAGGGAAGACAGTCTCTACTGAGTGGAGTGCTCACTTGAGTCTGATGCAGCTGAGGTGCCTTGTGGAGTAAAAAGAAGACTCCAAAGAGAGTATTGGATTGGGCCATAGTCAGGCTGTGGGAACATGGCACCCACTTATCCTGAAGTGGGGAAGGTCGGTGAAAGGATAGGTGTGTTGAATGTTCTCCTGTTACCCACTTTCAGAAAAATGAGTTGGTGCCCCAAATCCTTCAAAGGTAAATTATTTATTTTAGAATTAAAATCATGGCTTATTCATATCAGAAAGATTACATTTCATTGTATTATTGTTTTATATATAATATTCAAATTGACTCATCTTTGGCCAATGGGAATTTCTTTAAGTTAGGGTCTATGTACTTTTTAAAAGTTATATTACACATACCTATAATTCTTCAGTATAGTTAACATACAACAAAATGTGCAGATTGTGGGTGTTTAATTTCATGAGTATTGTTTGACATTTATTCATGGCCTCTTATCCAGAATGAGACATAGAACATTTCCTTGGCCCCAGAAAATTCTTTCATGATTGATTTGCAGGAAGTTTCCCATCCCCAGGCAATTACTTTCTGATTTCCATCACTATAGACTTATTTTGTATGTTGTTACATTTCATACAAAAGAAATCATACAATGTGTATATTCTGTGTCTTTTTTCTTTTGCTTAAGATAACGTTTTTGAGCTTCACTCATGATTCAGTACTTCTTAATTACTCACTAGTATTCTGTTGTATGAATATACCACAGTTCATTTGTTCATTCCCCTGGCGGATATTTAAGTGTTTCCACTTTGGGACTATTATGGATGATATTGTTTTATTTCTTGTACAAGTATTTCTGTGAACATTTGTTTTAGATTCTCTTTGGTAGGTCCCTAAAAATGAACTCTTTGTTCATGTTGTAAATGCATGTTTAAATTTCTGAAAATCGACAAATCATTTTTGCAAAGTGGTTGGACCATTTTGCACTCCTGATGAAAGTGTTTCCATTGCTCCTTATTCTCATCAACATTTTTTTTATCTGTTTGATTTTAGTCATATAGCCTTTGTGAATGGAATCTTGTGATTTTAGTATGCATTTTCCTGATGATCAAAAAGGTTAAGCATATTTCCATGTATTTATTGACCACTTGATTTATAAAGTGTCTGACATTTTAATTTATAAAAATTTATAATGAAAGTCTTATTAATTTTATTAGGTAACAAAGTCAGCCATCACCTTACATCCAGTCCTGTCCCAGACCCACACCACCTTTATTTTTAAGCATTTTTTTTTGTTGTGATATGAACACTTGCCCTTAGTCCCACTCTCTTAGCACAATTTTAAGTATATATACATTTTTGTTTATTGCTGGTACAATGTTGTAACGACATCAGGTCTCTACAGGTTATTCATCTTGCTTAACTGAAACTTTGTACCCATTGGATGAGTGACTCTCCATTTGCCACTTCCCTCGGTCTCTGGAAACCAGCCTTCTGCAGTTTGAGTGTGATTTTGACTATTCTAGATACCTATTACGAAATAATTGTGCAGAGTTGGCCTTCTGTGACTGGCTTATTTCCTATAGCTTACTGTCCTTAAGGCTATGCCACACTCTGGTTCATTTCAACTCTGAAAGCAGCCTCTGCCATTTATCAGGTTTTGTTTTGATCAAGAACCTTTAAATATTTTTCTATTGTTTTTTTTATTAAAAAAATCTTTTATTTCCTCCTAAGTCACAAAAAGTTGTAATGCATGTGTCTGTTGGTTCTTCCCTTTGGAACTGTGGCAAATATGACCGATTTTTCTGTGGTAAGCTGGATAAATGTAGGATTCCTGGTGCCTTTCAATATAGTAGATTATAAAGCATAACGAGAAAATCCTAGTTTAATGTGATAGGTTCTATGACAAATGAATACATAAAGGGTGGACAGTTATACCAGAATGAAAGTAATGTTCTCAGCAATATTCTGAGGATCCTTTTGGGGTGTAAAAGGTGAGGGGTGATAGAGTCCGTAGCGTATATGTATGTGTGTGCGTTTATTGTGACTGGGTGTAGGGAGGGACATTCTCCTTTGTCTCCTGAATAAAACCTGAGCTTATTAGCTTGAGATACAGGCATGTCCAATTTCCTATCTCATCTTCTATTCAAACAGAACTCTTCTGAATTTGCCATGCCCTTTCTCTTTTCTGCCTTGAGTTAGGCCCTTTCTCATGGCTGATCTTGTACACATTGGCACCAGCTATAATCCGTTCCAATTGGCTGGCCATTCTGACAAGTCAGTGCTTACAGATCCCGTAATGCACTGATTCTCAGAAGGTTTTAGTGGCGTTTGTGGACCTGTCTTGGAGCAATCCTCTCCATACCTCAGTGCTCCACTAACATGCTGTGTGC